CAAAGGATAAGCATTTAGTTTTAATGACATTTTGGGCTCTGAAGTTTTGGCCTCGGATAGTTTGAATTGTATAATTCGTACTCAGAGAGCAAAGCCTCTAATTAATGGGCTAGATGTTAATGTATGAGGGCGAAGGGGTTAGTCAGGGTGTTTGTAGTTTACTCTACGCAGGATTCCCCGTTTCCAATCCCAGTAGTTGTTGTATAAGGCCGTGATTGAACATGGCATATATAATAGTTCTAAATTTAATCACCAGCCTAATGTTCCGCCCTTAAAACCTACAATGACATCCTCTCTCACAATACTTCAATATTATGTAACACTTTTGATTGTCTTTCTCATCAAAAATCCTGTCACGGTTCTGACAACAAAACCTGAACCCACAAATACACAATGGCTCAACTTATCTGTCAGCAAAACCCACAGCTTCTTTAAATCAAGAGCCTTCCACTAATGTACGCATTTTTTTAGATATTTACATATCCGATTCAGCTACCAAAGCTCTGTCAAAAGGTTTAATTTTTTTGTCAGTCCTTTTTCCATTCGAACTGAGAAAATAGTTTGTTAAACTAAAAAAAAAAATATTTCTCATCTTTCTTTCGACCAAGCCAGACCAGACGTAGCCAGCATTTTTCATAATTTCAAACTTACACCACCAAATATCAGTCTTTAAAAAAAAACTTGCCCTTAAAGAACTTACAACTGACATTGACATCCTTCCGCCCGACAAACCATCGGTACTGCCATCGTCATTCGTAACTCTTCTAATTATTTCGACAGAATTTTCGAACTTCTTTATTCTACAGAATACAAACGCATCCCAAACGATCTCGCGATATATCTAGAAAAAAGACTAAATCCATCATAAGTTCACTGTACCTCCACACTTTAAAAAATCTTTTATATACACGGAAAATCATCCCGAATTCCAAAAATTTACGGTCTAAGTCAACCAGCCCAATATCCCACTTAGATCCATCCTTAGTGCATACAACTCTCCACTTAAAAATTTGCAAAATATGTTGCCTTATTCTTACAACCATAGCCGAAAACACCTCGTCGTTTGTCAAAAATACTATTTATTTGATTGATTTTTCTAATCACATTTCTATTTTACCCTCAGATCTAATGATTAGCTTTAAAATTATTTCTTTATTTACCAACATCCTATCGATAAAACTATTTTCATCTTGGACTCTAAACTTTAAATCTCCAAGAGATATTATCTCTAACAAAACACATAAAAACACTAATACATACTTTTTATTCCAAAGGTGCTTCAATGGGATTTCCTTTCTCTTCAGTAATAACTGATATCTACGTAAAATATTTCAAAACAACAGCCCTATCCACATCAAATCTCAAACGCAGCTGCTGGTTACGATACGTTGATGACACCTTTGTCATTTGGCCCCATAGTAAAGACACATTAGATATCTTCCTCTTCTACCTAAATAAAATACATCCCAATATTTAATTCACGATGGAGGATGAGATTAAAAGGTCTTTGCCATTTCTTGGTGTTTTTATTTAGAAACAACGCATAGTTTTGCCTATTTTTTGTACCTAAAACCTACCCATACAAACTGTTATCTTAATTTTTAATTACGCCATCACACCCTAACTTAATTTAGCTATTTAGCAATTCAATAAGGCAAACGTTTTTTACAAAATACCTGTCGCTAAAGCTAAATCAAAATGAGGCATTTAAAAACATCTAAACTATGCTCTATTTAAAAAATAAACCTTGTCTCCTGATCAAACCAAAATTATTTTACTATTAATTAAAGATATTGCTGATAAATCATCAGAACTGTTAACCCTTTAAACATCAAAACATCTTTTGGTACTTACTCCAAGTTGTCCATTTCCATCAGATCGATAAAAGACGAATTCACTTATGAAGATCATGATGTCTACGAGATACCTTATTTCAATTACCCACGTTCATACGTAGAATAAAAAAGACGACGAATCTACAACCGTATTTACGAACATTCTATATCTGTAAAAAATACATATACTACTCTAGCCCAACATCATATACAAAACAGATTTCAAAAAAGCAAAAATCATCACATCTACTTGCTCCTTAAAATCGAGAATTATGCGTGAAAGATTGCCTACTAGTTCACTAAAGAAAAGGCTAAAAGACTGTCATCAACATGGCGACCGTTACTTCAGCGACCCCAGCGCCTAATAATCTGAACATCATAAAAATAAAATTGCAGAACACACAAACACAAATGTTGTAAATCTAGAGGAAGACACAACAAGGTATTTATACCAAACAAGAATAGCAGAAAAATGTAGAAACACATAAATCATTTAAAACGATGAATTAAAAAAAAGCTTGTTAAGATTAGGGCAAAAACTTAAAATTAAGCAGATGATGGTCTGATCGAAATAAAAATAAATAAAGCAAGTCTTTTCTAACGCAAAAATCTCTGTGGTTCGATACATAGATGATTAAAAAAGGCAAGGGAAAAGAAAAAAAACTTATCTGAATACATGCCAAATAAGACGCAACAGGTGTACAAAGATTACAAGACAATAAGAAAGGAAACACATGCACTAGCAAGAAAATTTAAAAGGTGTGCAAGAAAAAGATCCAAACACTATACTGATAGTGTCAAAAATACTAATTTCATGGTTGCGGTCTGAGACCAGCGTTAGTGGGTTGTTTTAAAATAAATAATTGTGTAGTTACTTTTCTACATGATTTATTTATGCATTTATCAGCTCATGGTGGTTTCGATTATTTCACACACAGTATCTACAATATTAAGATAAAAGTTACATTTTGTAATAAAATTTTGAGTTTCCAAGTTTCTTTTGGAGTTTTATTTGTTTCATCGTGCTTAATTTTTTAAATTAAAATTGGCGAGATCAGAATAAAATATAACGTACAGAGTATAAACGAGTATATACTAAATGATATAAAAAATAGAAGAATCATATCAGCAGAATTGCGGATAAAAGAGTCGTTAAAATGGGAAGTCCCTTCCAAAAATCACTAAGTAATAGAAGAAGCATCAACCGACCGCACAAGAGATGGAATAACAGTCTTTCATAGAGAAGGCAACAACCAGTATATATAAACAAGCAAAATTGCTTATCTAAAAAAAAAAGAGAACCTGTAAATGGTAAAATATTTTTTAAGTTACTAAATAAATTGAAATTATAAAGTGTTTTCGAAAAAAATTCAACATGATTTTTACGGTCTGCAAAAGAAAATGTGGCGCTTTATAAGAGGTCAAAAAAAGGAAGTGAGAAAACTAACTAACTAAGAACCAAAAGACTTAGAAAAGCATACGTACTTTAAAGCTGAAGAACAAAAAACCAGTAGGTAAAGGACGGGATACCAAACGAAATACTGAAATATTGCGATAGAACAATAAACAAATATTATTAATTAAAATTATAAAACAAAATAAAATACCGAAAGAAAGAAAAAATAAGCGAACTAATTCTACTATTCAAAAAAGAAGATAAAGAATAGCTAGACAGCTAGGGTATAAACTTGTTAAATACTACACTAAAACTTACACTTTAAATATTTATAAGTGCTAATAAATCAGAGGATACGTTTAGCAGATGAACAACATGGTTTTTATGTAGTGAAAGATCGTGTCCAGGTGCAATATTCATTATAAAGCAAATTAATAATAAATCACGAGAGTATAATAGACCAGCATTTCTCTGTACGAGTGACCTACAGAAAATATTGAACAGAGTAAGGCTCAAATATGTAATCCATCTTCTGTATAATAGACAGTTTCCCTAAACGTTATAAAAACTATCGAAAAAATCTACAAAAACAACAGAATGGAAGTCAGAAGAGATGTAAAACTTACATAATCTATAAAAATAGGCAGCGGAATAAGACAAGTAGATTCACTGAGCCCCTTGCTCTTTAATTTAATAATGCATGAGTCATCAAAAACGTTAACAAACGAAGAAAATGCAGAAGGGGAAACAAAAAATAAAAATACTCTGTTATGCAGATGACGCAATGTTGGTAGACCAGGTGAAAAAGTTTGTAAAGACTTGTTAACAGATTTAACAAAAGAATTTAATATGATAATCCCATCCAGAAAGCTAAAACAATAGTAAAGAGCAAAGAACAATTCGATATAAAAAAAAATGATAGAATCGGTATTGAACAAATATTGATTTTTAAATACATGGGAATTACACTGTCCAGCTATGGTGACTTGGATAAAGAAGTGAGAAATCAAGTACAAAAAGCAAATAGACTGGCAAGATGCATTAATAACACTATATCGCGTAACAAACACATTAAAAATGAGATGAAATCAAGAATTTAAAAAGCTAGTATAAGATCTTATGACATATGTTTTAGGAACAAGACCCGACACAGACACAATGCAAAGGCTACTAGAAACAGCAGAGATGAGAGTATTAAGCAGAATTACAGGTAATGCGCTCAGAGATCAAAAGAGAAGTAAAGATATTAGAGAAAAAAGTAACTAACACTGTATAAATGAATGGACACAAATAAAAATAAAGAATGGAATAACCACATAAGCAGAATGGAAGAGACCTGTGTCCTCAAAATAGTGAGGAATTGGCAATTGGCAAAACAAGTGACAATCTTTTATAAAGGTACTACCAATGTACAAACTAAATTGCTTATAAAGAAGAAGAAAAGTAAAGAAGAGATAAATCAAAATAAATATTTAAAAATACTATATTATAACTTCGTTTTACTCTGTGTTACCATATGATTATGAGCTGTAATTACCAATCTAAAAACCATATCAGTTATTTTAAGCTCATTTTCAAAAAAATCAAAAAAACAATATTATTCAGAGAAATGGATATTCGAACAGGAATGGACGAAAGCAGAAGAATAAAACCTTGCACAGTTACACTTTAACAAATTTCAGGTTGTACTGTTAGTCATAAAATAAAATAAACTGATATTAAATATAATATATGTTTAATTCTTGTTAACATTTCACTATATTATTTACCAGCAATATTTAATATTCTTGCATGCTTCGTGTACTTCTATATCCGATGAATTGAATACTCCGTTTATGATTTCGCCTATATAGGATTCGCAGCTAACGAAGAAAATCCAATCAGTGGGCAAGTTGCATTCTTCGAATATAACGTCTCTTATTTCTTCCTAAAAGAATAAACAATGAAGAGTTAAGTAAAAAAATCTTTTTATTTTATATATTTACATATATTGTAAATTTGAGATTTTCCTTTGTAATGCGAATCAATTTTTAACAATTTTAACTATTAGTTAATTAAGGATATATAAATCATGGGAAAACAAAAATAATTAGCTTTAAGCTGTTAGATTGCATAGTCCCCAAATCAAGTCGAACACTAAATTAAATTTAGGTAGTTTTTTCTAAAATTCTAAATTAATAGAATAAATTAAATAATAATTTTAATAATTAAATAATAGTAATAGAAGTTTAGATATTGTAATCAATTCTTTTCTTGCTCAGAAAACATTGGTAACGCCTTATGTTATCATGCAATATTATTACTTACGATTGAGAGATTATGTTTTTGCAGCAAGCTAACTTGATTTCCAACTGCTGTACAGAATAGGCAATCCGATATACTTCCTAGACTGTAAATCAAAGTAAAAAGTATTATTATTAATACAAAATTAGAAACTAGTTATTAAACACTATTATTTCTGTTCAGAAAATAGTCAAAAATCACAAAGTCATTTAAATGTATAAAAATATGCCAAGAAAACTAAACCAGATATATGTAAAATGCATTAGGAAAAGGTATTTAAGGTTAAAGTAATGTTGCAAATTTTACAAAAAGTTGCAGTAATTTTAAAAAACCAGTAACCTTTTCATGCAACTTTGTGAGTTTCGGTTACCATTTAAGAGAATTTGTCCATAATGCCTAATAGTCTCATTCTGAGAAATTCAAACAGTGGAGTAACCCAAAAAACAAGACTATCAACAATATTAATTAAAAATAAATCATTTTACTTAATGTTGGGATATCAAGCCAGTTGTCCCATATATGTATTTAAACCATGAGATCAGATGAATGACGAATAAGCGGTAATTACAAATGCAATAGAACAAAGGTGAAGAACTATAGCAGTGAATGGGGCACTTGGCGTAAAAAAAATCCGGCATCCTTTGATGACAGGTGTGTAGTTGTGGCGACTTTTACTATCATGCCTGTCAATCTTATACTAGAAAAGAGGGGGGACGCGTAATCATATGGAATTGACTAAGGGCTACATTGGCACCAACCAGCACCAAAGAAGTTGCCAGGTCTTATTTTGTTTCTTTAGTAGATTAGCAATGGATAAAATGGAGACGGATATATATATTATATATATATATATATATATATATATATATATAGCGAGTCTTTGCAACTTTAATTTTGTCGCTTCTCGCATCCAATCGCCATAATTTCTTATCGGCCCAGTCTCCTTCTTGAAGACCTATATTTTCCATTTCTATATGAATATTGGATATCCATTTTTTTCTTGGTCTTCCCCTTTTATTTCACTGTGTAGGTCTCCAGTTCCAAACCTTTCGTGGTATCCTTTCTTCGTTCATCCGTCTCAGGTGTCCATACCATTTTAATTGTTTTTCGGCTATCGTATCCATTATTGTGTTCTTTACTTTCATTCTCTCTCTTATGTTTTCATTTCTTATGTGGTCAAACAAAGTTAACCCGGAACATCTTCTCCAGTACATCATTTCCGTTGAGAGGAGTTTTTGTGACATATTATTGTTAAAGACCCACACTTCTGACCCATACGTCAGCACCGGCTGAATCATAGCCTGATATATATTTTTCTTTGTTTTCTTAGTTAAAGTTTTATTCCACAGGATCGGATGTAGTGTTTTTATCATGTTTTTTCCTTTTCCTATTTTTCTTGTTATATCTTTGTCGTCTCTCCCGTCTTCGCTTAGTGTAACTCCGAGATATTCGTACTGATCAACGTTTTTAATTAATCCGCTTTCTGTTTCCATGTCTTGACCGATGCCTCCTATATTCATGTATTGTGTCTTTTCGGTATTAACCTCTAATCCCCATTTTTTGAATTCGTCTATTAGTTTGTTTATCATGTACGTCATATCTTGTAGGTCCTCTGCAAGAACTACCTGGTCGTCTGCGAAGAGGATTGTGTATATAGGAGTGTCATTTACCCATATGCCCATTGGGCTGCATTTTCTCATCCAATGTTTTAAAGCATTACCAAGATATATTTTAAACAGGGTTGGAGAGAGGCAAGAGCCCTGTTTGACACCCTTTGTTTGGGTGAAACCCTTGGAAATTTGGTTTCCAACCTTAATATAAGCTTGGTTATCTTGATATAGCTTTTTCACGGCATTTATATATACTGCATTTATACCTGCGTTTTCCAATGTTTTCCATAGTCTCTGCAGTGGTACGGAGTCAAACGCTTTACGGAGATCTATAAAAGTGGCATGAAGTTCTAGTCCTCTTGCTAATCTCTTTTCCGTTAGGTGTTTGAGAGTAAATACATTGTCGACACAAGATCTCCCTGGTCGGAATCCACTTTGTTCTTCGATCTGTGTGGCTTCTTTTTCTATTCTGGCTTTCAGAACTCTTTCATACAGTTTGCCAGTGGATGACGTAATGCTGATACCTCGGTAATTACTGCAGTCATTCCTGTTTCCCTTTTTGTAGATGGAGTTTATGTACGAGACTTTCCAATCTCTTGGGATACTTTCTCCTTGTAGGCACTTGTTAAACATTTTACAAAGCAATTCTAATGTTATTGCAGTGGCATGTTTGAATAACTCGATAGGTAAATCACCCGGCCCAGGAGCTTTATTATTTTTCATTTTTTGTAATGCGTTTTTTATTTCTTCTACGGTAATCATCGCCACTTCATTTAACCCCGTTTCAACTCTATCTATCTGTGTGTCTAGAAACTGTGTACGTTGTTCATTTAATAGATTTTCATAATAATTTTTCCATCTTTCTATGTCTATGGGGTTTATTTTTTTGTTTCGTTTGTATTTTTTCTAAGACTGTTGATAGTTTTCCAAGCTTGTCTGGACCTAGATCCTCCTACCATTGAGCTTATTTCTGCACACTTGTTGTCCCAGGTTATGTTTTTTGTTTTTTTTAATTTCCTTTTTTACTATATATTTGTATCTGTTATAGTTCTTTCGGTCTTCCTCATCTTTTGTCGCTAACCATTTGAGATACAGTTTTTTCTTTTCTTCTACCAGTTCTAATAAACCTTCTGTCCACCAATAATTTCTACGTTTTACTTTTTCTTTCGTACCTAGAGCTTCTAATGCTGCTTCATGAATTTTGATTTTCAAAGTCTCATACATTTCTTCCGCTGTTCCGTTTATTTCTTCGTCTAATTTTTGTGCCAAACGTAGTTTATAAAGAAAACTTGTGGACTCATTTTTTAGGCTGTCTATGTTATAGAGCCGTGTGGATTCTTTGTTTGTCTGTTCTTGGGATTTATTTTGTTTAATATATCTTATTTCCACGGGTGCCTTTACTAGTAGGTGATCCGATCCACATTCTGCCCCTCTCCAAACTTTTACATCGTAGGGTCTTAAAGATGTCTATATATATATATATATATATATATAATATATATATATATATATATATATATATATATTTATATATATATATATATAAATAGATTTTTTTTTTAATTTATAATTGAACACTAACATAATGATCAGTTTTTAAACAATGAATCAGTAAATTAAAGTTGAAAATCAGTAGACCTGTAATTCTGCCGATAATTATTAATGGGCAACGTACAGTCACAAAACATGCGGTCATATCGAAACTGGCTTCACTTTTCGAAGGTTTATTAAATGAACGTTAGCTGTCCCCTCTCTTTCCTTGTCTAAGCTTACATTTTTTTCTCGTCTGTTAACTGTCAACTCGTCTTCTCCTCCGGTAGCGATCACGTCTTTGTTTTGACTATACTTACAAAAAGACACTACAATGTATCATCTTTTTATCTATTACTTTTTGTAATAAACAGGGTGTAGTCAAAAAGTCAAAACATTTCATGTTAAAAAGATCACGACATTGTTTTTATTGAACATACAATACAATGGCAATCGCTGTGACATGTTACACCTTCCAAGAAAAAGTGCAACTTGTAACATGGTATTTTCAGGGTCTTTCGATACGCAAAGTAATTGATTTGTTTATTGTTTCCTTGAACTTCGGATGTGTAAACAGTTGTAAAAAGTGTTATGAAGGTCATGAACCACGTGTTAGACCTGCTGATGAGGAGCGTCAAAACAGGGATGTTGATATTTGTACCTTTGTGGAAGCTAGTGCCACCCTACAGTAGTGTACAGATTGCTGGGAAGTTAATGTAAATGCTCAAACTGTCCAGCAAATTCTTAAAAGGAATGGGTATCAACTGTTTTAAGATAAAACTAACAGAAAAAACTGTTCCCGGAAGGTAACTTAAGGCGGTTTAAGTTTTTGTGAATTTATGTTAGATAAACTATGAAAATGTACACTTTTAAAAATTATTTTATTGTCTGATGAATCTTCATTTTCATTACATAAAATAACCCAATCCATCCGTTGCATTCTTGAAAAAATAATCACCTCAGTGTTGCAGTCCAAACGCAGCATCCGCAAAAGTTAAAGGTCTGGACTGGGATGTTAGGGGACCATATTGTCGGTCCATTTTTTATCGATGAAAACCTAAACGGGCCCAAATATTTACAATTTTTACTGAATGAGTTCATTCCGGCAGTTCGACGCCTTTTTGTTAATTTCAGGAGGTTTATTTCCAAACAGGATGGATGTTCGGCTCATAACTCTTGAGCAACTATTAACTTTCTCAATCAAATGTTTCCTGATCGACTGATAAGTACACGTAGTACAATTAAATAATCCGCTTGATCCTGTGACTTAGCGCCTAACATTAGTTTTTTTTTTGAGGTTTTCTCAAAGAAAACATTAAAGGCATCAGTCTGAAAAGGTCACAGACCTAGTCAAATTAAGGACAAAAATACTTCATTTGGAGCCCTACTACCAAAGTATGAGGAGAAATCTGAATGACAGATTTGGTTACTATTTAGCACAAGGAGTGGAATATTTAAGCACTTAATTCATTAATCTGCCGTTCTTGATGTGAAACATCTGGTCTAAAGTCTTTTAGTGGTTCTCTAGCTAAGAGTCCAAGTGGCGTGTGAAAATAAATCTTCCACTAGTCAGTTTTGCGTCAGAAAATTTCAGTTTCGTTCATTATGAAGTCTTACATGCCTGTCTGGTTTAGTGTAAAGAGGACTAAAATGTTTTCCAGATGGCCCGAAAGTTTAATTTTAAAGTTTAAGGTTCTTAATTAGGTAATATTTTTTATGTAAAGTTTAGAAAAATGTTATTGCTCTTTTTATTTAAGAGTACAAACGATTCTTATTCTGATTTTTTTCTTTCTTGTCTTTTTGTAATAAAATTTGTACAATCTTCAGAGACAGTAAAGCATATTTATTACTTATTTACTTACTTATTTATTTGTATGACTATTAAGGCTAAAAAATAACAAAAAAAAAATTAGTTTTAGAGCATATAAATCTTACTTCCTATGGTCAACAATACAATGTCGTTATTTGTGTAGAGGATAGCAGCTACGATGCAGAAACCTTAATATTTACAAGAGCAACAGTGAGCAAACTACAAGTGGCGAGACAGGAATTAAATGGCGATAATTAAATAAATCAGACTATATCAACAGCATGTGAGAGACGTATGTTCACCAGTGACGTCGAAAAGCTAGGTAATGACGATGATAATCTTACTTATTATTTAAGAAAAATTTACTTACCCATCTTCGTTGGAAAGGGTAATAGCAGCAAACGATATTCCTAAAAACAAAACATAAACAATAAATTAAAACTAAGAAAAGGGGTGTTCGTTATATAACATTTTTATAATCTACTTTAATTTTTTGTGCATATGCAGTAGTGTGCTACTTTAAATTGTTCTACTCTACTATAAAATTCAAAATTAAGCTAGCTAGACTGATGAGAAATGTACAGGACTGTACAATTATTCAGTAAAAATATTTAATAAAGAAAAAAAAATAGTATGTTATCCGCTTGAAAATTCTGGCAATTAAACACTTCGCAGCTTTTTTGCAGCCAATTGCCAAGTTAGATAGCTATAACGTATCGTGGTAATAACCTAAATAGGCAATCAGACCACTATATCTACATAAAACATTGCGTTGAAAAGTAAAAGATACATTTATAACTCTAAAATATAACTTCAAAAGCTATGATTTACACTCTCAGAATAAAGTTTAGTTTATCTCAAAGTGATAACTCTACCAAGTTGTGCTTAAACGCTTTTTTTAAAGATGCTTTAAATAAGCTTAAATTCTTATAGATGTGGTGACACAGACGCATCTAAACAATTTCATAAGTGAACAAGGTGACTATTGTTAAAGGTATGGGCCATATTATGATAAATATGCAGACATTATAGCTTTTATAACTTTTTCAGGCAAAATGTATGAAAAATAACGAGATGGAAGAAGAATCACTTGATTTGCATTTCTTGGCTTTAACAGAATCTGAAAAAAATGGTTCAACAAGTCTACAACCCGTATACTTCAAAAGCGACCAGTACAGTAAGGATGTCAGTCATTTATTTGTCAACATTTAAAACGAATAAGTATCTTTAATAAAGAAAACCGACAAAAATACTCCTAAATTAGGTTTAAAAGTATACAAGATATAGATAAGCGAATAACTCAGTCCAAAATTAAAATTGGAAAAGCATACCGCCATTTTATATTGTGAAAGTACCACATGTTACACGTATAGATACTTTGAAGTAGTATACCCTTTAGTTATACAACCATATCTGTACCATATGTTTGACAAACTAAATAAACTAAATCTTTTATTAATAATACGAAGATATTGAAACTATTTAAAAAGTCTGCGGAATTTTATAGAAAAGTTGTAATTAAGAAAAATAAATAGAAATTATAGTCGCTTAACAATTTACAATCTTAACATAAATATTTTATTATAAAAATTTTTAGACTCATATTCTGTTAAGATTCGCTATACTTTTTCACGAAACAACCTTTCAAAGCTCTCTCTAAATAGTTTTAAAACTACTTCATTCAGATTTTTCCTTATAATTGTTACATATAAAATAAAAAATTTACTCACACCGCAAAGCAAAAAATAGATAAAACAGATAAAAACTTCATTTTTTTTAATATATATTTAAAAAAAGCTCCTTATTGCAAATTTATAACAGTAATTGCCAAAATTAGGTAAGGAGATTTATGCTAGTACTAAAAAAACCCAAAAAAGTTTTGAAATACTGATTATAAGCTAAACGAATACAAAAGTATATTTTGGAGATCTTTTTATCTTTTGAAGTGTTTTATATACTTATCTGTACTTATTGTAGTTTATCTATATATTACACGTATAGTCTGGTATTTTTGAAATCGAAAGAAGTATAAAATTAAATTTAAAAAATTTTAAATTACTTGTGCTAGATAAAATATTATTTGTCTTTCGTCTTTCGACGAAGATTATCTACAAAAATATTGAGTTTGGTCCCTGCTAATTTGTTAATAATTATATAATGTAATGTATGTGTATGTATATAATTTATAGAATAATGATTTTGTTATATTTTTAATAATTACTTTAATCCTTTCATAACTGACTTAATTGCACCTCAATAAAACTGTTTAAATGACTTTAATGTTATAGACTTAACAAAGAAATGTTACCGTCCTTGTATCTTTAGAAAAAACAAGAAACATATAGATCCCATTAGAATTAAATGGTGGAATAAATTAATCCCATCAGTAAAGAAACAAACAAATTAAAGAAAAATACATTTTTACAAATAAAATATTACTTCTTATAAATGATGTGTTAAAAAACAATTTTTGCTTAGAGACACATTGTACGCTGAACAATTAGTTGTAGTATTGAGTTTCTGATTGATTTTGGGAACATCTAAAGCATCTATTATTAGTAGGTTTGTCTTGTGGCAAATGGTCTTCAACGTTGATCATCTTTCTGTGTCGTTTAGAGATTCTGCCAAAACGGCCACTTATTTGTCTTTTTTGCGTTTGATTTCGATCGTGTTAATTCAATTAGCTGTTCTGCTAGTGGCACCAGAAAATTTAAAAGTGAAAACGTATTATCTTGTACACTTCTTTTATGTAAATACTGTAAATATTCCAAAAATTGACAATAGCGTATATAATTAATCTATAAAAAAACTTTCTTCACCATTTTGCAGATTTTCGGTCCATATCACATGTTTTAATGTTTTGATTGGCAAGATCTACTTTTTACAAAAAATAATTGCTTCTGGAAAAGTGATCTTAGCTTTTTTCTCCAGTTTTCAGCTTTTTGTTGATAACTTTAACAGTTGTACTCTGACAATTGGATATTAGCATCGCTTCTTTTGTATCTGTTTATTTAGTCCCTAAAATTTCTTCAGATAGAACTATAGACTCCATTTTAAATTTGGCTATGTTTATCTTGATTGGCCATATAGGTCCCAAACATAGACAATTTAGACCACGTTCTAAGTCTATCCGCTCTTGTGATTTGTAGATTTTCTCATAAAGTCCAGTTCTACTGTTCTTATTTTATTTCGTATTGTTGTTGTCATTGCCATACTTCCGCTCCATATAGGGTAATATGCATCACTATGCTTTGAAAAATCCTCTTTTTGTTTACTTTTGTTAAAGTGTTGTTACATATCACTCCCTCAAGTGCTCTTGTGGCTTGTTTTCCCCGTGCTATTTTCATTTCTACATCTTGTATACAAGTACCATCTCGGCTATCACTGACCCTAAATACTTAAAAGTCTTACCACTCTTAATTGTCTCTTCGTCTAAACTTAAGTTCAAATCTGCAACCTCGGGTCCAATACATAACTATTCGGTCCTGCACATATTTATCTTGAGACCCAAAAGTTCATATTCTTCGTTTATTTTCCTTATCATATATTTCATATCCTCCCTGTCTTCTGCAAAAATGACTTGATCATCTGCGAAAAGTAGTAAATGTAATATATTCTCTTGTACTGGTATGCCCATTGTTTTCGCATTATCTATACCATCTTTTCAAAGCCTGATCTATATATGTTAAAAAGTGTAAGTGAGAGACTACATCACTGTTTGAGGCCTTTTGTTGCGGTGATTGTTTTTGTTATTTCATTACTTAACTTTAGTTGCACTTGTGGTTCTTTATACAGTCTTTGTGTTAGATTCACCCATTTCACTCCAACGCGCATTCTTCTCATTGCTTCCCCTAGTTGATTCCTGGGCACGCTATCGTATACTTTCTCTAAGTCGATACAGGTCATATGTGTTTCAATGTTTTTTTCTTTGTTCTTTTCAATTACCTGTCTCATAATGAATATATTATCTAAACATGATCTGGCTTTTTGGAATCCGGCATGTTCTTCGCTATAATGGTTCATGTGTTATTCTAGTTTTTCTTATAACTGATGAAAAGATTCTTGATATTGAAGCATTACACTGATCGCTCTGTAGTTACTTGGTGACCTTTTGTCACCTTTTTTGAAATTGGAGGACATGTATGATAAATTCCACTCATCAGGAATCTTCTCTCCTGCTTCGATTTTATTGAACAACATTCGTATAAAGGATACTATCCTTACGCCTTTCATATTTCAGCATAATTTCTAGCCATTAATTTAGATTAAAAGATATCAAATAAAATTAAATCTTCTTGTTTTTCTTATTTTTGTATAGACAGGACCCTGTCGTTTTTCCAATGCGACTTTTCAATAATCTACTGCTTGTAAAAGATGAGTTTTGGGTATGTATTAAATATAATAGGCGATAGGACATTTTTCTTATAGCATGATAAATAGTTGAATTCTATTTCCTATCAAGAGTCGAAAAATAATAAATGTTCTTGATTATATTTTTAAATGTCTGTATATAATTTGAAATTGTAGTTGTTACCTTTCACTTTTCAAAACATTCATACCTTTATTTTGTATGATTTCGGAATTGTTTTAATGTGTTTTTCAATTTGTTTAATTTTTGGTGAACAATTTTTTTGTACTATAATCATACAGATTATTACAATTTACTACAATAACTTATTTTTTACTAAATTATTTACTATATTTTTATTGCGACCAATGACTATTACCAACGAAAGAGGCTATTAGATTAAAATGTAATTTTATTAACAATAGATAATTATAATTAGTAATTTTTATTAGGTTTACATTTCTTCATTTCTATGCACATTTCAGTAATTGTTTATTTTCGCGTTCATCATAAATGAACCAACCTCATCTTTAAACACTTTTGTGCAAATTTCTTTTTCATCATCTTTTAAAACTAGACATACGAAATATTCCAGCGATTTTGTTGCTTCCTAAAAATAAAAAAGACAAAAATATTATTTTATATGCTAAAAAAATCCTTTATAATAAATATGATAACTTCAATTTACATAAATAATTATAAGTAGATAATCGAATAAAAAACCAGAATAACTCAAGTATACTGCTAGACAAAAAGGGAAATATTAATATAAAAAAACAACGCAGATGAAAGGAATACATAGATCAATAATTATTCTAACACCAGAGACAATTTGTGCAATTCAATTTTATTGACGAATATTGGATATTTTAGTAGGATTATTCAACAAACAGTATACAACCGGAATCATCCTCTCAAAATATTAAAAAGGCGTCTGACAGGGTTCGCCTGGGAGACATTCTAAATATATTATTAGAAAATAAAACACCGACCAACATAACAAAGATAGTCCATAAATAAATAACAACAATGTAACCAAAGTTAGAGCAGAAAACCAATTTA